ATAGTCAAAGGCTCATTATCCTAATCCTCCAAACCTCCTGTGTTATATTAGTCACAAACAGGAAGTATATTATTCCCCACTCTTTCAGGTGTAGTTCTAAAAATAGAGGATTACATCCTTTTCTGAAGGGCTGTCAGTTTTGTAACATAGAACAAGTGATTTAAAACCATGTAATTTGAAAAAAGCTAAACAAAGAAAACGGTGAATTTGTGGTGTTTAATAGTTGAATGAAGAATTATGGTTAGTTATTTATTAATCATATTAGGTGTTGGACAGTGTTGAATTAAGTTATTTTCTTTTATGAGGAGTGTTCCTTTCATCTTATAGAAAATCAGGAAATAAAATTATAACAGATTTTTATATCAATGTTAACATTTTTCAAAACTAGTTATTATTTAACAGTTTAGCTAAAATTGACCATCATGAACTGATTTTACTTTTTAAAAAATTTTTTTAGTTGTAGATGGACACGATATCTTTATGGATTCATTTATTTTTATGTGGTGCTGAGAATTGAACCCAGTGCCTCATTCGTCTCGTGAGGCAAACACTCTCCCTCTGAGACCCAGCCCCAGTCCTGATTTTACATTTTATATAGGTTCCAAATGATTTATAAATTTCTTTCTAGTATATGAATATATTTATATAAAGCTCAGTAAAAATAAAATACCTTAATTATTTTATTTTAGCCTCAAACACGTTCTGGGAGATAGAGAAAATTTATCTTTATTGTACAGACAGAAATACCAGGATTAACAGATTAAACTAATTTACTATTGTTGCATTCTAGTGTAGAAATTAAGAAGGCTCAGCACTTGGTAATAACATATGATGTAATTGGAAAAGGAATATGTGACACTAAGACAACAGCTCATAGTCTCACTCAAGAGGCTGCACAAGATAACCTTGGTTTATGTAGTGCAAAATTTGGCCTTTATTTGTTGGGCTCAGAAGTCATATTTTTTTTCTTGAGCTATATCAGAGGTGAATTAGTTCAAGAGGTTAATGTTTAAGTCTAAATATAAGACTGTGAATTTACAATGAGAAATAATTATCACAAATTTCAGATTTTAAGCTCATTGGATTTTATTTTCTTTCTATGGACAGATGAATTTTAAAAGCCAGGTAATAATTTAAAAAATTGTTTATTAAGTATTAGATGAAAAGGGTGTTGGAGGAATCAGATGTTCAGTGGCATGAGGTTGAGATAACCTGTTACATGCATCTCAGAGTAGTAATGTTCATGTCTGTAGACTAAACTTCTTAAATGCTCCTCGCTGTAACTCCCAACATTGTTTTCTGCATTAAGTATGGTTTTTTGAGAGGGATCAGACTTCTCAAAGGTTGACGGTGCGTTGGTCTTCTTCCAAGAACTATACTCAATTGATCAATGCCTACATTTTCTTAGTACATTCATTCAAGGCGCCTAGAAGTCCTGTTTGGCAAGGACTCGTGTCTCCTTAAGATAACTTTACTTCCTTACCTATATTTTCATCAGTTATATGGATTTCACTTATTTCCTTGGCTTTGGGACAACAGCTCTTAACTGTTTAATGAATATGCGTTAATATGTCTTGTCTTAGCCTAATCTCCAGTTCCAAAATTGAGTCTCCAGATAGGAACTGGGGAAAATTATCTGATGGTCTTTTATATTTCTGTTTGAACTGTGGGTCTAAGCCCAAGTTGGTATGCCGTAAATATACAGTAGTGGTCTTAGGTGTCACTTGATGTTCAGTCACTTAAGCATTGCATATCCCTAAATTTCTGATTCACTTAAAACCCCAGGAATGAAGTTAAGGAAGACTTAAAGGAATTCACTTTAGTTCTTGTTGTTTTTCTCATTTTATAGCACTTGTCCATGAAATACCTTCAAATCACTAGAATCCAGGGGAGGACCGGTATTTATTTTTTTTGTTTCTTCTGAGAATCCAGGGGAGGACCGGTTTTTATATTTTTGTGTCTTCTGAGAGTGTCTAGAGAGTATGTAGTATTATAACTACCCATCAGAAATGCTTAATATTTAGAATGTTGACCAGTTAATAAGAAAAATGAAAATGTGATAGTTTATATAGATATTTTAGTCAGACTGTTTTTTGTTTTGTTTTGCTTTTTTGGTGGTGCTAGAGATCAAACCCAAGGCCTCACACATGCTAGGCAAATTAGATTGCATTTTTAAATTTAAATATTTAATCACAGCACAATGTAAGAGAAATTTCTTTCCAAGAAGGGTAAAACTGTTATATTGTTTGCTCATATGTACTGTCAGGTAGATAAGTCCTAGTCTCCTTGTACTGGGAAAAACGGGGGGGCAGGCCCAACAGTTGCTTTTTATAGAATTATATAAAAAGGAGACACCCATAAGAAGTTGCCAGAAGCTAAAAATGTCATTCTTATATTTTTTCATTTTCTTTTCTTTCTAAAGGAACAAGATGAAGTAGAAAAGTCAAATAAAAAAGAATTACAGGAAAAGGAGGCAATCATCCAGGCATTAAATATAAGAATAATAGAAGAAAAAAAGAATCTTGAGCTAAAAGATCAAGTCACAGCCACTGAAAAATTAATGAGAGAATTAGAAGAACAAATTGCAAGTATGAAATTAGAGCTGGCTAATTCTAAGCAAAAAGAAAAACAATGTTCTGAAGAAATAAAACAGTTTATGGGTAAAGTTGAAGACCTTCAGGAAAGACATCATTACACAGATAGCCAGTTTGAATCTGATGCGGTACAGAGAATGGTGGAACAAGAAATGCAGAAAAGATTAAAGCAACTCCGAGAAGAGATGGATGAAATGTATGGGCAACAGATAGTACAGATGAAACAAGAGTTAATAAAGCAACACATGTCACAGATAGAGGAACTTAAAGCACAACATAAGGAAGAAATTGAGAGTGTTTTAAAATCACATTTAAATATTAGAATTAATGAAGATCAAATAAAGTTAATGAACATGGCAATAAATGAACTGAATATGAAATTACAAGATACTAACGCTCAAAAGGAAAAACTCCAAGAAGAACTAGGAATAGTTTCAGGAGAAAAATCTACTCTGCAGAGACGACTTGACCTTTTTGAAGAATTGAACTTTTTAAGGGACCAAATTCAGAGAGCTAGAATGATAATAGCTGAACAAGAAAGTCAACTGAATGAAGCACATAAGTCCCTTAGTACAGTGGAAGCTTTAAAAGCTGAGATTGTTCTGGCATCTGAATCTAGGAAAGAACTAGAGTTAAAACATGAAGCAGAAGTTACAAATTGCAAGCTAAAACTTGAAATGTTGGAAAAAGAAAAAAATGCTGTATTAGACAGAATGGCTGAATCACAAGAAGCTGAATTAGAGAGGCTGAGAACACAGCTTCTATTTAGTCATGAAGAAGAACTTTCAAAACTAAAAGAAGATTTAGAAGTTGAACATCGAATAAATATTGAAAAACTTAAAGATAGCTTAGGCATTCACTATAAGCAGCAGATATATGGCTTACAAAATGAAATGAGTCAAAAGATAGAAACAATGCAATTTGAAAAAGACAATTTGATAACTAAGCAGAATCAGTTGGTTTTGGAAATTTCAAAACTAAAAGATTTACAGAAGTCCATCATGGATTCAAAATCAGAAGAAGTGACCCTTAAGATGCATGAACTCCAAGAGGAAATCGAAATATTAAGACAAGAAAAAAAAGAAAAAGGTACGCTTGAACAAGAAGTTCAGGAATTACAACTTAAAATTGAATTATTGGAGAAAGAAATAAAGGAAAAAGAGGATGACCTTAAAGAAAAGTTTTCACAACTTGAAGCAGAAAATAACATTCTTAAAAATGAGAAAAAAGCTATTGAGGACATGTTGAAAATTTATGTTCCTGCTGAACAAGAAGAAAAATTGATTTTCATTGACTCCAGCAAGTCCATATCCAAAGATTGTAGCTGGCAAAAAGAAATGGAAATGCTTACAAAAGAGAATGAGGCCCTCAAGCAACAGTGTATTCAGCTAAATGAAGAAATTGAAAAGCAAAGAAGTACATTTTCATTTGCTGAAAAAAATTTTAAAGTTAACTATCAAGAGTTACAGGAGGAGTATACTTGCCTTCTCAAGGTAAAAGATGATTTAGAAGACAGTAAAAACAAACAAGAATTAGAGTATAAAAGTAAACTTAAAGCACTTAATGAAGAGCTTCATTTACAAAGAATAAATCCAGCTACAATCAAAGTGAAAAGTGCCATGCTTGATACTGACAAAGCTTTTGTCGCAGAGCCATTAGAAATCTGTGAAGTTGTTGAGAAAGATACAACAGAACTTATGGAAAAACTTGAGGTAACCAAGCGAGAAAAGCTAGAATTGTCAGAGAAACTGTCTGATCTCTCTGAACAATTAAAACAGAAACATGGTGAGGTTAATTTTCTCAGTGAAGAAGTCAAATCTTTAAAGCAAGAAAAAGAGAAAATTCTATTGAGATGTCAAGAGCTAGAACTCCTAATTAACCATCATAGAGCAGAAAATATAAACATGTGTGATGTTCATTTAAGCTCTTTACAAGATGGAATAGTAACTATTATAAGCAAGGATTCTCAAGGATCATTATCTAATGTAGGTGAAGATTTTGGAGAAGAATCAAAAACAGTAGTGGAAGAGAAAATTTCTTTTGAAAATGTGGCTATTAGAAGAGAAAGCAAGCAAGAACAGTTATTTTCACCATCAGTAACAAATGAATCCTCACCTGGGACAGATCAATCAAGTGAAAATGATAAACTCCATCAGGAACTTTATGTACTTAAATCAGAACAGGTATGTTTACTTATTTACATATGGTATAGCATAGTGAAAATGTACATTTCATGCTAAAAAGAGTTTTCACCTTCTTAAAACAAATTCATAAAAGAGAATGAAAGTGAATCATGTAATTCTCATTTGGATCTATCATTTATCATTTAATTTTCCTATTTTTTCTTAAACACTGTTTTTCTTTTAGCTAATCTATTATATATTCTGCTCAGGAAATAAAGCAATATTTTCTTTGTAAAGACAATAGTTTAAATAATATTGTTTAGAATCTCAACTTTACAAAAGTTATTGATTTTATAACTTAGTATTTTGTTGCAATTTCAAAGACTTTTAAGAGTTTTTATTTCCTACTGGTCTTTTTCAAGGTTCCACAATTGTAAACAAACTCTTGAGTGTTTTAGAACCTTATGCAGTTGTTCAATAGTTATAAATTCTTTTTCCTTTGTGCAAGAAAAACACTTAAGTCCTAGAGTTTTTTGAGTCTTATACCTGAGGAGGAAAAAATAGGATTAATTCTCTGTACAGCTAAAGAAATAAAACACATAAAATAATAGGTT